GTGAACACCATCTCCTCAACACCAATGTCAAGCTGTAACTCAGGGGGCCACTTTCTTCATAGCTTCATTAGTGGAAACTTAATAATCCTAAGCAAAAAAAACTTCACAATATCCACTTTTTGTAAACTCTATAGTCTTTCAAAATATTTTTTAGCAACCATGTGTAAGAGATTCACTATCAGCCAACACCTGAGCTGAGATTTTTGCCTCCGTGAATACTTTCAGCCCCCTTCGAACTCTGTGATAGGGACAATCTTGAAGAATCACAAAGGAATCAACAACCCAAACATGGTGGCTCATGCTTATAATCCTAGCACTTGGGAGGCTGAGCCAAGAGGATCCCAGCAAATTTAAGGCTGGCTTGGTTACATAGTGAGTTCAAGGTCATTCTGAATTATACAGTGAGGCCCTGTCTCAAAAAATGGGAAAAAAACAAAACAAAACAAAAATTAAACAGTAGGGGGAAAAAGAAGCAGGACAGTTTCTTTGGATAGAGAGCCTTAGAGAGAAATCTGCCAAAGGTACATGGGGAAAAATTACATTACAGCCCTGTAAGGAGGTCTGAACTCAGAACATTTCTGAAACATGGGACTCTCAGTTTTCAACTTAGAACAGTCCCAGGCTAACCAGAACCAATGAACCTTCCGTAGGCTTGAAAGATGGCAGCACAGTACCAGTGCTGATGATACCTACTTGGGGGAGGGGGTGCGATTGCTGCTGATGGAAAAGCCCAGCCTAGGGACTTAGCAAGACCCTGTCATCTAATAAAGTTTTTTTAAAAAGTGAAAAGTGCTGGGGATGTGGTCTTAGGGTGAAGGCTCTGGGTTCAGTCCCTAATCCCACTAAAAACAAACAAGCAAACAAACAAAATGCTGCCACAAAGTGCCAGTGGTCCACTTGCAATCTCTTTATAAAGAGAATTCTAATATAAATGTAGGGCGATTGGATGGAAAATAAATGATACTAGAGTATGTTTCTAAATAGGTGTACACACTTTTTAATTTAGCTATCTTATTCTAAAAGGTAGTCCTTCTTCCAATTAATTTAAAATTTTTTCATACTGGCTGGGGACTTTCCAAGTCTCAGGGAAGGTCCCTGGCTCTCATGGCAGCTATGGAGTCATCTGTGAAGAATTAACCTGACTTCCTTATGTTTTTCTTAACTACATTTTGCAAGTTAAAGTTTTAGTCTTGAGTTGTTAATTCTCAGAAAGCTGTTCCTGCTGATATGATATCAATAAAACTTACAAAAGGAATAAAAGAGTCTTAATTCACATGTTTGCTATTGTTTCATTTTTTAAATAATTAGTGGTAATGATTTTCTTTCTTGGTACCTTCTGCCTGGACTTGGTGAAATGGGGAAGGTATGCTGGGGAAATGACAAAGCACACCAATTACTGTTTGACTGGCCCTCCTTAATCCCTTTCCTCCCCCTACAAACAGCTCCAGCAAGTCTGCCTCCGTGTATGTGGTCTGGCTTTAGCTGATAAAAGCCAATAAGCAGGGTACCTTTTGGAATTAATTCTATCCCTCTTCCACCACAAAAATCCCTCCTGGGGATAACGTTAGACGTTATCTTCCCTGGCTGACTCACTCTGGCTTCTTGAAATGATATGAGAAAGTTTATGGAGATCCCCTTTGTCCTTGAAAATTGAAAAGAAAATATGTGGGGTGAAGGTGGAGGGTGCAAATGGTTGCTGTGCTTATGAGTCTTTTTTTTTTTTATCACACATATTTAGCTTAAAATTAGAAAATCCAGAAGTGTACAGTACAGTTGCATTTAATGAAGTGCTCGGCTGAAAAATAAACCTGCCCTCTCTGAAACAGGCACTCTTCCTCCAGTCCCATAGTGGCAGAGTCATACTGTGGTAGTGAGACAAGACAGTCTTGAGGGCAGAAAGACCCAAGTTCAAATCTTCTGTCTTCCACTCACTTGCCAATACTTTGGAGAGACTGCTAATTCTGAGGTACCTTTGCTTCATTGACTATAAAATGAGAAAGAGAGCCAAACAGTCTTTCTGAACACGAGTGTTCTTAACATTAGGTAAAATAATAAATTTATGTTTCTAAAGAATCTTGCACATCATAGGTAACCAGTAAGTTGTATTTGTATCACAGAAGTTTTGCTCTTATGGATACAAACTCAAAATAGCAGTCCCAAACCCTATGGATAAATATAACTCTGCCTTCCCCAAACCAGAAAACAAAAGCAACCTAGATATGACCCCTGTCCTCCAAATTAAGAAAGGTTTATTCTCTCTCAGGGGAGAGGTCTCTAAAAGCCCCTGCTGAAAAATTGCCTTATCCAAAGTAAGCTTACCCAAATCCAAAACAAGTAGATAGAATCTTTATTTCCTATTTCTTGAGGTGATATTATAAAAATCAAGTCTAAGATGAAGATAAATGGTTTGCCATCAGGAGGAGTGTACAAATTAAAAGCACATGGCCCATCTGCTTTTAATTTATAAACTCTTAGTGACAGCAAAATTCAAGGGAAAGCTGCCCCTTCCTCTCCAGCTCCACTACCCAATCCTATCACGTGCCTTGACAGTTTTCATTTTAGTCTGGGCAAAGTCTTCCATAGTTTTGTAACAAACTAATCTCTAATCCTTCATATTGAAGGAAAAGCTAACTTTTCTGGGCACTGACAGAAATGCAGAAAAAATGCACATTCTCATCTCCTTTTCAGGATAGTTAGAAAGATATACTTCCTACAACTTTATCAGTAAACAAAGGCCAAGTATTTAGAATCATACAAACAGTAAATAGCAAAATGACAGGTCTGACTACAATGCCAGAAGCAAAACAGTTGTGGGGAGAATATCGTGTAGTTTCAACAATAGCTGAGTAAAGATGTGAAGTTGGAAATGGGCAGACTCATTTGTTCTATTAATAGATCAGCGTGAAAAGGCATGAAAAAAAGAAGTCTTTCCTCCAACAAGCAATGTCAAGGAGTAATTTGCATGGTCTGTGTTCTGTTCTGTTCTGTTCTGTTGCACGTGTTCAATTTCCAATTCCAAAAAGAATGGAGATGCTATGGCGATGGAAAGGAAGGGGCCAGAACAAGTCAACCATAACCAAGTAAAGGGATCTGAAGTCCCCATCTGCATTGTTTATCCTGTCTCCCAATTCTCTGCAGTGCTAAGGGTAACATATTTGGGAATAAGACCCTAAAAGAAGAAAGTGTAGGTGAGATAGAATATTTCACTTTAAATGTGTCACTAATTTTTGAAAATCCATAAAAGAGAATCTAAAGTTAGAGCCTATGTTGCATGCATGAAGGTTTGGTTCTTTAATCATGACCTATTACTAGAGAATGTTCAGCTGATTACACAGTAGGGTGTGTCCTGCGAGGTTATCAAATCTATTTTTAGCTGCATATAAATTGCTCTGCCAATGTCACCACCATCAGGAAAAGAGGCATGCACTGGGGATTTTCACTTCCAAGAAAATACTCACCATACAAGCAATTCTCAACCAATCTTCTCTAAGCCTTAGAATCACTATTTATAAATATAGGGAAAAGACGTTAGAAAATGGATTTCTTTTCTAAACATACTCCCTTGTCTCTTTTTGTCATATGCTCTTCAGTTCCTTCTTATACTTTCTGAAAGGAGCTCTTGAAAAGCTAACTGTTGAGGAGAGGCCTTAAGATTCTTTTGCCATATTTTCTGAAAAACCACAGATTGTCAGGATAACTTGGGTCTCTTGAATTTAGAATGACACTGGTTCAGAAGGTGTCTATGGCCACATAGCTTGACAAATAGGCACACTTGGCTTTGCCCTCAAAGTCCAACTTCAAGAGCCCAGAATAGGGTAGGTGTTGTGTCTTAACATCTCATCAATACTCCTGAGTTGATATTGACCTGGATTGTACCTTCGCTAAGACTTGAAGAGTTTGACAGATTTTCACCAATTATGCTATTCCTGCCCAGGGATATAGAAGCTGGGGCAGCATATTTAAAGTTGCAGTCTTCTAAACCTCAAGCCACAGAGCATAGGGCCTTTTGACTGAAGAAAAACATACTTCATAGAGACAGTTCATTTAACTTTTCAAATAGTAAAACTGTTAGCTTTTGTTGACCAAAAGATACAATTACTTGAGCATCTTGAGATATTTTTAATCTTAAAACATGGTTCTCAAGAATATGTACTTTTCTTCATATTTGCAAATTTGGGCTGTTACTTTAAAAAAAAGCATACAAGGTGTCTTCAGCAAAAAATTTTTTTTGTACAAAAATTTGTACAAAATTTTTTGTACAATTTTTTTTTTTTTGTACAAAGAATCAAACATGCAATCTTGCACTTGCCAGGCAGGGACTTATGCCACTGAGCTCAATTCCCAGCCCCACTCTTGCAAATTCTGAAGCCAACCTCCCTCTCAGGCAGTACAGTCCTTCCCCTCTGGGAAGAACAGGCTCGGTCCACTGTCCTCCACTCCAACTCTTCCTCTTAACTTCCACTTAAGTAACTCACATTCCACAAGGTCAGCCAGCTTCTTTTGAAGGTAAGGGTGGAGCAAAGATGTGGCTCCAACCTACAAACCAAGTTTCCTAGTTCTCACACTCAAACAGGAAGGCCATTTAGTTCCCCTACTTCTGCACATGACTAGCTTCGAATGAAGCAATCTTTGCTGCTCTAGTGCTGTGGGCAGAGGGAGAAGCCTGAGGTCACTAAATAGGAACTGCATGCAGCTCCTGCCCTCCCAAAGGGCAATGTGGACTAAATACCTCTAATTAGATCAAGAATCTCTAGGCTACTTTAAATCACTCTCCACTCAAGACCTATACTAGCATTAATTTTGTTTTTCATTACTTCTCTTCCTAATTAAAAGTGTAAGTCCCTTGACAACAGAAAACAGGCCAAGTACCCCGTATTTTCTGCTCCTAATATAACTTTGGATATTCAAAAGATGTCAGCTGATGTGAGTCAGTTAACATATTTTGGTTCAATGATGAACATTTAGTGGCTTAGATAAATAAGATGAATAAACACACCAAAGAATTGTGGTAAATTTTAATAATTCACTACAGTAATCAACTTTCACATGTACATACATATAAATACAGTTACAGACCATAAATACTCATGATAAAATATCATCCCCAAGGGGAAAAAAACACACACACAATCTTTGCAACAAATAACCTTAAAAAATACTAAAAAACAGCCAAACGCTGAGGTATAATTTTTTAAGCTAAAGTGACTAGCCTACATTCTTACTGTTAAGAACTCAAGTAGTTACACAACCTGTCTTATAACAAAAATGGAATACAGGTTTTCAAACTAAAAGTATTTTAATTATAAATACATAAAATAAATAATACTCTGAGTGAACTTTAACTATGACATTTCCTCTTTTAGGCTTTTTTTTAGTTTTACTTCAAATGATAAATTTTTTTTTTTATGGGGTAAAATGTTTCAATACATAGGCATTGTAGGATGATCAAACCAAAGTGATTAGTATGCTCACTGCCTCAAATGGGTATCATTTCTTGTGAGAACATTTCAAATCCTTTTAGGTTGTTGTGAAATATATAGCAACTACAGTCAATTGGCTATACAATAATACTTCAGAGATCATTTTCTAATTCAGTACCACATGACCAGTATTTTCCTTTCCCCATTTGCCAATCCTTCCCCCACAACTAACCAGGCTCTGGTAACTCTGTCAAGTTTGACTTATACTGATTGCCATATATATGAGATCATGTGGTATTTGTTTCTGGTATGGTAGGTTTATTTCACCTACTGTAAGGTCTTTTAGGTTATGACATTTCCTGTCTTTAAAAAAAGGGCTGAATAGTATATTATATTTATACATCATTCATTAAATCCACTCAAGCCCTATAGACAGATTGTTTTGATGTCTTAGCTATTACAAATAATACTGCAATGAACACAAGAGCAGTTCTCTCTCAGAATACTGCTTTAAGCATCTACCCAGCAGAGGAAAGGCTGGGTTGTACAGCTTTTAGTTATTCAAGTAACTTTCATAATGTTTTCTAATGTCTGTAGTAATTTACAGCAGTCAACAATGTACAAGTGTTCCTTTCCTTTCCTCCACATCCTCAAACACTTGTAACTGGTTTTTAAATGCCAGTTTAGCAGATATAAAGTGATACTCACTGTCATTTTCATTTGCATTTCTCTGAATCAATTTCTTCCTTGAGATTATGTTTAATAAGATGTTATTGCGTAGTTTGAATTTTATATCTATAGTCCATGAAACTAAATGAAAATCATCAAACTCTTATAAGTACCTACACATGAATTTATATAGGTAAGCACATATGTATTTATATACACATATGTATTTGAGATTTTTGTGTTTGATGCGAACTGTTTGATATTCTCTTTTTAAAAATATATTCCAATTATGAAAACATTTCTGATTGCATTTAAAATATCACTTTATATAGCATGTGTAATAACGTGTAAAAAGGCAAAAGATCACTTTATAAAGTATGTGTAACTAGTGTGAAAAAGCATTGTACAAATTCTTAGAAAATGTAGAAAATACTTAACATTTGTCTTACTTTTTAATTACATCAATTAAAAAGTTCCCTTTTTTCATTATTTTGTTCTATATAAAATCTCCAAGCTCTTAACAGTAACAAAAAAAAGCCAGGGAGAGCAGTGCACACCTGGTGAATTCAAGGCCAGTCTAGAATATACAGCAAGACCTTGTCTCAAAAAAATTTTTTTACTGGCACCAAGAAATCTTCCTCTATACTTTCATCCAATTTCTAAATTACTTTCTAGTTGTCCATACTTTGTAGTCAGTGCCCACAAGAATACGCTTAAAAATGAGCTGAACAGAAACAATACAATCTAAGTTTTAAAAAAATTATTTTACATTTTATGGTAGTTTATGAAACCCACATTCACTACAGCATTTGGTGTTATAAGAATGACATTTTTCCTCTACTAAGATTATATGTATAAACCAAATTCCAAACTATAGTTCTAGAGTTGTCACTGAAAAAAAAAAAAGCACTGAATTCTCTCTTCCTCCCTGCCTAATCATTTATCAACATCTTTCACACTACACCAGGCAAAAATCTACAGCAGAAATACTAGAATAATTCTCTAAGCAAAAAAAAAAATTAGCTAACTGGAGAGAATGACACATGACTATAATCTCAGCACACTGAGAGCCTGAGACAAGACTGCATATTTGAGGCCGGCATCCACAACTTAGTGAGACCCTTTCTCAAAATAAAAAATAAAAGGGCTACAGACGTAGATCAGTGCAAAGGTTCAGTGTTCAACGTGCACTATGAACAGAGTGGGAATATTAATTACATCACTCTGTTCCCTACCTTCAAAACCTTCACATTCCATCTTCCCTTTTCAAAAGCAGCCTGAAGCAAGAGAACATTCGTTCACATTTCTCTCTCTTACAAGGCAATCCTTCCTCTAATCAATAGGACTGGCTCCAAATGGGAATGCTCTTCTTTTGAAAGAAGCTCCTTCATGCAGAAGTTCCTGAAGCAGTCAGGTTACCAAACTGATGAGTTTGGAAATCAAATACATAAGTTTCTGCTGGAAATTCAGTTTATCTCCAATTCTTCTCAACTGAGCAGCACACTCGACTTCCAGCTCTAAAAAGGAAATCAAAATTAACATTCATAAAAGTCCTAAGTGTAAACAGCAAGAGGTAATATCCTCATCCTCGGAAACATGTTTTTAAATTTCAGCTTTATATGCACCCATTTTCCCAAAGACTATTTACAACACACACACACACACACACACACACACACACACACACACACACACTTTTAAGTATGTGAACATTTGCTTTCAAGTATTTTTTTTAAATCGTCCAGAAAGAGATAAGAACTCCTTCTCAAATACAAAAATATTTCCTGTATCCAACACTACAGGTGGTGCCATTAGCCAGCCTTCAACAGAGCCAGTAACTTTCTCTTCCTTTAAGACTGGCCAGGGAACAGATGTCTATTTCTAAATACTTGCGTTGTTTTCAAGTAGATTCGCTGTTTTCAGATAGTACTATTTCATGGCTCAAATTATACCTGCCTCCTTCATAGATAAAATCAAAAGCTTTCTTTTCTTACATTAAAGCAGTATTTTCTTATAAATTTTAATTATCCACAAAAATCCACTCAAAATATCTTGCTCATAACTTTGATTTCAGTATTTTGAAAGAAAACACAAGACTTTTGCTCCATCTTTTGTTCCATTTCAAGACAATGATAATGAAAATGATAATTAGACTATAAATTTAAGTTTGCTTTTTTTCTTTTAAAGACAAGCAAAGATCCTATTTGGGCTCAAAAAAATAAAAACCATAAATATATAATATATATTTAAACCTACATTTCAATCAAAAAGAACTAAATTAAATCTTTCTTAACAGGCCTGCATGGTAATCTAGGTCCCTGCTTGGATCCTCAGCACCTCCCAAAGAAATTATCAAGCCACAATTTTGGGAACCCTGAATTCTATGAAGAAAAATCTTTCCTTTCACCAAAAAAAAAAAAAAAAAAAAAAAGTGGGGAGCAAGAAATAGTTCTGGGTTTAACATGCTATTTGAGTATTTGAGGTCACTCATCTACACAGGTCAAGTGCTAATAATATTTTTTAAGGGCAGCTTTCTACCATGTTTTGTTACTTGGCAAATGATTAGGCGTTTCAAAACATGGTCAGAACCCCTGGATATTTGCAGTTTTTCCACCCCACGCTAAGGTCAGGGAAAGCAGATTGGTGTCAATTTAGCCTTGGTCACATTTGCAATGTACATTTCCTGTGCATGTGCCCCTGGCGGGGCTATAAAATGAAAGAGGGCCATTTAGGCTGATGTAATCACAGTATGATTCAAGTGATTTCCAGCCTGGGGCCTTTATTACTTTCCTTGTTAAAACCCCTTAGCAAGTGACTGTAGCCTTTGATATATTTTACAAAATAGGATGGGGAAGACCTGTGATGGGAGGAATAAAAACAAAGCCGGTTGATCACCTCCTCTTCGCGCATCCCCACCCCCACTCCTTTCTAAAAGGCCTGTTAAAATGTTGCCTAAGGAGAAAGACCTCCCAGGCTGGGCTTCTATAAACATCCATCGTAGTGTGGTGGGAAGAGAGAATCGCATCAAGATTAAACATTTTTGTTAGAGCTGGGGTTTGGCGGTCCTCAATTACCATTAATCCTCTAGGACATCTGGACCTCTCCCAGGTGAATGCAGAGATCGTCGAAGAGTGCGGGCATGGGGAAGCTCTAAGAGGCAATACACACCGTCCTTTGCTGTCAGTGACTGGCTCAGGGCCACACCTACACTTGCACTTTTTCTCCCGATGGTCCCAGGCAAGACAAGCAAAGGAAGGGAAGAGAGGAGCAATGGAAAAGGAGTATTCGGTCCAGACCAATGAGCGGCTGTAGGCCACATTTAAACCTAGGGATCACAGGTCCAAAGTTCTAAAAAAAACTGCCTAAACAGCTTCCTGCAAGTGTCGCACAGACCCGCAGCAGAGCTCAAACCTGACCTGACACTGACGTCTGGTGCGCTCTTGGGCGGCCTAGAGACCCCTCAGATTACCCCTGGCCCCGCGGCCCGCCCAGGACTCCGCACCCGCGCGCGCCCGTGCCGGATCCGGCTCCGAGCTCTTCCGCGCCTTCTTCCCAGCCATCTCTGCAAGCACCTCCAAGGCCTCCGTGGTGCAACCCAGGGAATTCAGTGTGTCTCCAACTCTCCTGAGCTGGGCAGCACACTCAACTTCTAGCTCTGAAAAGGAAACATCGAATGAACAGTGAACAGTGAAAACTGGAGGCAGTAAGTGAACGCCCCCCCCCCTTTCAAGTGACAAGCGCAGCATCCCAGAAACATCTCTCCTAACTTTAGCTTTTATGTGCACCTGTTTCCCAAATGTGAAGACGCCTTAAAGTAACAATATACACATTTTCTTTGGAATCTCTTTAAAACACACTTGAAGCAAGTGTTACCTTGCTTTAAAATACATTATGAACAGTACTTTCTCAGCCTTTAATAGCCCAGGAGATGTCCGGACCTCACCTTCAGGTTAGTCAGACGCAGAAAACAAGTTTATTTCACATTTTACTACTTTTTAGAATTTAGATACTATAACTATTATTTTAAGAAAAGTCAATCATGCTTCCCAACTAAACTTTGTCATAAATTAGTACAAAAATCCGGATATTGTAATTTTGTAAATACTTAAAGAGAGTAATTTAGGATCTTGTGGTCCTCAAGTCCATGACTATGAAGATTAAAAATAATAACGAATACAATTAAGGATATAGTGTTTTGTAAATAGGTCCCTATACTTAGGCTCAAAATGAATGAGACATGTAAATATACAGCAAAGCAAACTCTAAAACTTACATTTTAACCCATTTCTCTCTCTACAAGAGCTGAGTGAAAACTTTTCTAATCTCTGCTAAGAAACCTAATCACATAATACACAATTTTTAACGGGCTTCAGAGTCAAACGTTTTGAGTATTTACAAACTCAGTGAGAGATTAACATACAGTCCTTAGGAAATATCACTGAACATTTCGTATCTATGAGGAAAAATTATCCCCTTTAACAGCAGCATCAACAACAAAATGTCAGAAAATGGTTCTGGTTGCTTCACGTTGAGGGGACAGAGGTGGAACCCAAGGTTTTGCACATGTCAGGCAAAGATTCTTCCGCTAAACTGCATCTCCAGCCTTATTTGCTTTTTTTAAAAACTGCAGTTACACATCTGTAGATGTATTAATATCTAATTATGTTTGAGAGGACTTTTGTTGTCTCTTTCTGTCGGGAACTAGGTAAACTGGTCCGGAGAGGACTATATGCACAGTAGACTTCTGAAAATATGGTCGGAACCCTCGGACATCACAAAAGATGGGCACAACTTCATCCCAAACTATGGCCAGGACGAGCAGCCTGGTGCTCACTTAGCTACGGGTCACATTTCCGATATGCCACTTCCGTGCATGCCACACTGGCGGGACTATAAAATGAAAGAAAAAAGAGGGCCTGCTCTCTGATGTAATACCAATATGCCCGGGGCCCTCTTCCGCCCCCATTTTCTTAACAATGACTAAGGGAGAGCAGCCTACATTAGCACTTCTCCCGGTGGCCCCTGAAAGGAGCAATTAAGGAGGCCAAAAAATCAGAAGGAAACCAGCTTTCTGGTCTCGTCAAAACGCAGCTCCATCCTTATCTCAAGACGAACTGAGCGCCCTGCCTCGGTTGGCAGCCCCAGAAGCGCTCTCCGATGAACTTTTGGATGCGCTCGAAGGCACGCGCCAGGGCGCAAGGGTTCAGACCTGGGGGCTCTGCGCACTCGGACCTGAGCCCAGCAGGGTGCAGATGCGCGCCCAACGTGCAACCTCTACTCGGATCCCGCCGCGAATAGGCTTCCGTGGGCTGCAGCTGGTGGTTACCTGCCCGCGTGGAGTTCGGCTGCGCGCTCTTACACACCTTTCCAGGCATCTCTCTGGGCGCCCCTGCGATCTCTGCTGTACTATCGGGGGACGCAGTCCCAAGCTGAACACTCCGAGCTCCGGGAGAGCGCGAGTGCGGCAAGTCCTGGGGCGGCCGTAACCCTTTAAAGCACCCGAGTCACAAGGGGACTTCCCAGATGACGTAGGGACACTGGAGGCCGGCGCGCCCCGTCCCCGCCCCCGTCCCGGTCCCCCTGGAGGATGAAGTTGGTTTGCGCCGCGGACGCAGCTTTGCGCAACCTGCCCGGGCGTGTTCACAGACCTTCCAGGGTGCGCGCCAGGCGCGCGCGGGGCCGGACGCTACCGGATGCCAAGTCAATAAGTGGGGGGTCAGGACCCAAGATCGGTTCGAGGTTTTGCGAACCCTCCAAGTCAAATCGGCTGTAATGGGGGGGGGGGGTGTTAGGTGCGCGGAGGAGGTTTTCCGAGAAGTTCAGTTGATGACGGGGAGTGGCCAAACGCCTCGTCCTTATCAGAAATTAACCATTAGGGACTTGTGTAAACAAACCCCGAAAAGAGAAAAAGAAAACTTTTCAAATTCAGAAGTATGGATATTTGCAGGGAAGTGAACTTTAATGACAGTAGAGAAGGTGTCAGACGCCACTCGAGGAAAGTACTGGGTCGGGAGCAACTTAAACTTTGGAAATGTGCAGTTGCTGCAGAACTGAAGGCCTGACGTGAGACAGCACTGCGGCGTTCGGGAAGAGTGCGGGGCTGCCCCGCCCCGAATCTGGCCTGGACGTAAGCCGCGCATAGTGCTTGTCTGTGTCGCTATTGCTTGTTCTGGATGTTTAATAAAGAATGAGTTAGGCCTGGGATATAGTTTGGTGGCACAGTGCCTGCCTGGCAAGCGCAAGGTCTTGAGTTAGATTCCCAGTACCCAAAAAAAAAAAAAAAAAAAAAAAAAAAAGAACCACCATATAAGAAAACATGCGAATTTTTTGTGGAGAAAAGGTTGAGATATCAGAGAACGTCAAATGATTTATGCAGTGTTTGCGTGGTGCTTGAATAACCACTATTATTTAGACGAATACTGAATTTGGAATTGTTAACAGGTACGGAGCCACATAATGCCAAGGACTGTGCCTTAAATTTTTTCATTCCATCCTCAAGTCTCCCCCACCCCAAGCTGATTCTTATCATCAGGGCCAGTTTACAGGTGCAGCTGCTGAGGTTTACAGAGCTTAAATTGCCCAAGTTCACGTAAACAGAGAGCAATGCCCTGCCGCAGAAAGCCTGATACCTGATAAGGCCTTCCTAACATAGTATCTTAGAAAATGCGTGTTTTTACTGTTCTATTTAAGGCATAACTTCAAATTGGTTCCTGACAAGTGAACGGACTTTCTAGAAATTTTTGTGAAAGTTCACGGTGTTAATCTGCAAAATGTCTTGTAAAAATTTTAATTGGGTCTCAGCACTTAGAAACAGAGATTGCATTAAAAGCCTGGCTTTCCAGCATGCCTCAGAAAATCAGCGGCTCTAGCAACCCAGGACGCACTTTCCAAAAGTGCAGAGTAGGCTGCAAATCTGGTGCGAGCCAGGAGGGGCTGGGGCTCCTGTTCACCTACACTTCCTGCTGTTAGCTTTTCTCGTTTACATTATCGGTCCCCAGTAGGTATTTGAGCCTGTTTGTTTATCTTAAATCACTGAATCAACACAAACCAGCAAATATTTATTTATGGCTTGGCCCTGCTAAAGGTATAGACAATAAATACAGGTCAAAACTACTCTCAAATGTAGTTGTTTTTATTTTTGAGTACGGTAAATACCTAAGGACGAGTGAACCAAAAACACAGAGGAGTTATCTCCACATGACACAGAGAGCCACGTGGTGATATGGCCCTCAAAACGACTTCCACCCTCTCAAGGTTCATCTTGACTTCCTTAATGCGTGAAGACACCTTTAATTTCTTGACTGTGTAGACTAGTAAACTTCTGTTCAAACCTTGCACCCTGAAATGCAATGCATTTCATGAGAGAGTAAAGCAAATTATAACATTGTTTGCCTACAAAGGATGTGTCAATCCAGTCTGCTAACATTATCATAATAAAAGGTTGTTGACCTGGACTGGATACAAACCTTTCAGGGAATTGCAAATTCAACTTGTTGGAAAGAATAGGAAACAAGTTGGGGGAGGTGAGTTTCAGAAATGAGTCCAAGCAGCTAGATGAAAAAAGACCTTTTAAGAATATGAAATGGTCCATAAATTCGCGTTTGTATCTAACATTCTCTAAAGGAAATAGAAACAAAATAGAAAGAGCTTCTCTTATCTTTCCCTCTCTCTGGAAAAACAATGGATCGTTTAATGTTGGGCTTACAAAAAATAAACATAGGGGGATTTTAGCCATTGGAGCCAATAAAATAATAAATAAAAATTGATCCTGAGGTTCTATAATTTCCTACAGTGTTAAAAAAAAAAAAAGACAGGATGATAATTTTAAAATCTATTATCAGGTAATTCATTTGCATGAACCAACTTCAAAGATGACAGTGCAAGTTTGTGTTGTCACTTAGAGTTTTATATGTTATATAACCTAATATAAACATAGCTATCACAACAACAAACATGACTATTAGTAAAATAGTCATTCCTATGTTTCAAGCAGAAAATGGAATTTGACAACTAATCAAGATGATATGAGATATAAAATGATATTTAGAAAAAGCCTGTAATATGCAAACTAGGTCTAATTCCATTTGTTCTAATAAAGAGAGTTTTTTTTCCCATCTACCATGTTTGTTAACAGCAAATTTGTCTGATGCTTGATCAATTAAATCTCTAGGATAGGACAGACAGTGCAATGTGCTAGGCTCTGGAAAGACCATTCCCTGCCTCCAGTAGCACCTAGGATGGAAAGACTCACAGTATTCCTGTCAATAAGAATCACCCAAGAACCTGGTTAAAGACACATCTGGTTTTGGAGCTCAGATTGGATTGAGATTCTGCATCTTTAGTGAACTCTGGTGATCCTGATGCTTCTTGTCTGTGGACGATTTTTGAGTAATAATCCTAGAGACGGGCACAATAGAGCACTGGCAAGTGCTGAACCAGGGAAATTGTGTAAAGTTATGGTTCAGTTCTGAGCCAGCGCCTAGATAGGGCAATTGTAGCAGACAATAGACTGACTGGGCAGGCAGCCAAAAGGCAGTTCCAGTACTGAAATAAGAATTAGTCACGCAGTGAAGCTGAACCCATGTAACAGGACTAGACCAAGCTGCAGTATGTAGCAGAGGTGAGAAGCTACAGGAGTTTAGATACTGTTGTGGGCGAACTGGCAGGAAGCCAGTAAAAAGGTTTAAGCAGAGATAGGTGGTGTGATCAGATTCTAGAAAGTTTACTGTGGCTGCATTGTGACATTAGTTGGGCTGAGACCTGAGACAATGTGACTTTGTGAAGACAGATAAATGGCAGTTTCCGTATAAGGTGATAGTGCCAGCTGAGTCTGACCTTGTTTTACTAAAATGCTCATAATGGGGCAGATTTAGCTCAGCGTGTAAATGCGTGCCTTGCAATTGGGAGGTTGTCAGTTCAAACCCTGGTACCAAAAAAATAAAATAAAATGCTCATATATCTTGAATAGGGTAAAACCACAAATTCTATTGGAGCCCATCATGATCTTTTTCATCATAAAAGTAATACTTTATACTGTACTAGCTTTCCAGCACTGCAGTAACAGAGTGCCACAAATTGGGTGCTTTAAAACAATAGAAAAATTTTCTTTCACGGTTCTGGAAACTAGAAGTCTAAAATCAAGGTGTCAGTTGAACCACGTTCTCTCTCTCAAGTCCCGAAGAGGACAGTTTTTCTTTGTCTTCTGATGGCTGCCTACATTCCTTGGCATCCTTGAACTGTATGTCAAGAATGTGTTCCTGGGGTTGTGGGTTTAGCTCCATGGTGTAAGCGCCTGCCTGGCTAGTGCAAGGTTGTGAGTTCGATCCCCAGCTCAAATTAAAAAAAAAAAAAAAGTAATAATAATAATAATGTGTCCCTGCAGTGTGGGCCTCAGCCTTCTCAAGGCCTTCATGTGGCTTTTGCCAACTCTCCCTATTTTTGTAGGATTGGGAATTGAACCCAGAGGTTCTCTACCACTGAGCGACATCCCCAATCTCACCCTCTTATTGTTATTTATTTTGAGACAAGGTCAAAATTGCCCAGACTGCTTTGAACTTGCCACCCTCCAGCCTCAGCCTTGCTAGTAGCTGGGATTACAAAATACGCCATCATACCTGCCTTCTCTCTTCAACTAAGGTCTCTGGTCTCTAAATGAGGACTCACCCAAACCATCCACATTAACTTGATTATATCTGCAAAGACCCTATTTCTCAGTAAGGTCTTATTCTCAGCTCAGGGAAGTTTGGACTTCATTTCTTATCCTCTCTCTCTCTCTCTCTCTCTCTTTCTCTCTCTCTCAAACTCTTTTTTGAAAGTAACAATTTAAAAAAAAAGCCTTTATCACTTACCTTTAAAATTTTGTTTTGTTTGTTTTGGTTTTTTGCTGTATTTTGTTTTTTGGTTGTTGTTTGGTTTTTTGTTTTTTGGGTTTTTTTGAGACAAGGTCTTGCTATGTGGTCTAGGCTGTCCTTGAACTTACAGTTCTCATGCCTCAGTTTCCTGAGCGCTGGGATTACAGGAATTCTATGCCTCACTGCTTCCTTTGTTTTTTGAGACGGCGTCTCTCTATGTAGTTTAGGCTGGTAACAAAATAGAGATCCTCCTGCCTCAACCTCACCTCCCAAGAAGTATGCCCTGTTCTACGTGTTTAAAGAGAGAGGAAAAAAAAGATTTTGTAAACTAAAAGCTCCTTGGTAAACCTGATCAGGGGCTGAAAGAAATCTTTTAAAAACAGGATAAGAAACAAAGTGTCTTCCCAGAGAACCAACGTTCAGAACACCTGCCCCCAGAATGCATGAGTATCCTACAGATCTTAGTTGGAGGGTAGAAAGTAACCCCACCGTCTTCTACCTCTGCTGAGGACTGCCCACTGAAAAGACCAAACAAGTTTTCAATAAATATTTTGAAGAAACTAGAAAATAAATTTATATTGACACAACAAATAAACATGTTATAAAGTGTGAATGGAGAAAATGTAAATCTTTGCATCTTAACAAAACCATTGTAGGAATTTTGCTGTATATATTTAGTCTTATCTCCTATATTTCTAAATATAGCTGCATGCAC